TCCGGGATTTTCCGGACGCAGGTCCGGCCGGACATCATGCTCTGTCTGGGTCCGGGTCCGGGGTAACCATGAGAATTATCCATTATTTTCATTATTTTCGATAATGGAATTAGAAATGAGAAAAATAATTAAAAATAATAAAAGAAAAGAGAAACGAAGAAAATTTTGTTATTTAATTAAACCTCGTCGGGATTTATTTATGATAAAATTGATTTTCATTTTCATTTTTCTCGATGACCGAACTAAAAATGAGAAAAATAATTAAAAATGATAAGAGAAAAGAAAACCTATGATTATATATTATTTGGTGAAATTCTATTAAATTCATTCTTGATGAATTTTAGTCTGGAATGATTAGCTTACCCTGAGTCCAACGATTCTCTCGAAAAGAAACCCGATTTACTACCCTTGCTCCACTCTGGGTGTTATAAGTAAGTGTGGGTTGGATGGTCGCTGTGGTGTTACCGCCGGTGCTACTTTGGTTGCGCCGCTCGATTTTTCTGCTTCGATGTGCCGTTGGTTTGGTTCGGGCACGACACTCTGGTTTGGGACAGGTTAAGTACTATCGGCATTGCTGCATTGTATGGTATTCGGGATGGGCCAGGTACGGCGTGGTACGGGGAACTGCAGTTCGAGACAAATTTCAGGTTCGGTGCTGGTCCGGCATCGGTATGGCACAGGCCACTGCAGCTCGAGACGGTTGTTTCAGGATCGGTGATGGTTCGGCATTGGTACGGTACGAGTTACTGCAGCTCCGAATGATTATTTCAGATTCGACACTTGTATGGTGACGGTGCAGGGCACTACAATTTAATGCTGCAAGGTTGGCACGGTCGCTGGTTTGACCATGGGCTGATTTTCTGCAATTCGGTGCACTTACTTCTGGTAGTGGTTAGTGAGCTGGCTCGGTGCAGGCCCTGTTTTTCGCAGTTCGGTATGTTTATCTCAGGTATGGGCACGACTCTGGTACGGAGTAACTGTGCGGACTGCGGGTTTGGTTCTCCTATTCTGGTACGGTTTCTGGCCCGGAAATAGTACGGGCTGGTGACCAAGGACTTGGTGGACCCGATAGACGCGAATATTCCATAGTGAGAGGCATGACGGGGCGGTTCCTTCTACTGCAGAGGACTCATGTTTTGAACCTGCGGGGCCTAAATTTGGGCCTGAACCTGTCCTACTGAGTAAAACCTGCGGTACAGCCGTGGCCGCTTGTGTTCCTCCGACTGGTACCATTGCTATCGCGGGCTGGGGAGTCTGACTTGGGGAACTTCGGTTCGTTCTGGGTTGCGACCAGGACAGCCGCGCGCATATAGGGTTGACCAGTGAAACAGGGAACACATTCGGGGCGAGGGAGTGCTGGACAGCGTGCCTGGCGTACGCAGTCCACGCCAGCGCTTCGGGCAGTGTATGAACAGCCCGGTTGGGGGCACATGCCGTGGGAGCTTGGGCATGGCGGATAATTCAGACAGGGGAGAACTCAGGGCGTGCTAGCGAACACAGCCCACTTCAGAACTGCCGCTCGTTGTCTGTGCTCTGTGGAATGACTGAGTGGAAGGAGGGAGAGACGATTGAGAGGCGTACACGGCATGCTCAGCGCCGTTTCGCAAGTTTGGTTGATGTGGGAGTGATACCCGAGCCACGGTTCAGGGGCGAGCGATGCGCCAAGCGCACATCGCTGACAGAGGAGTTTGCCAGGTGCGCGCAACCACTCCTAAGAGGATCAGGATGTCCCGATTGGCAAGGGAGAGAGGCGTATACGGAGTGCTCAGCGACTGGTTTGCGCCAGTCTTGGTTGGAGGGAAAGGAAGATAGTGAGGAGTGCCAAGCGATCGCAGTGCCCGCAGGCGAAACATGGCAGCCATGCCCGTGGAAAGGAGGACGTTCAGCAGCGTGCCCTGTGTACGGAGCCTGTTTAAATAGCGGATGAGGAGCACGGATGTACGCAGATGAGTCTCCGCGCCAGATCGAGCTCGTGGAGATGACAGCTGCGGCCACGGAGGAATACCGATCGGTAGAGAGTAATAGCCAAGCAAGCATTTCCGCGGCTAGCGGAGTTTGGCACTCTAGCAGAACAGCCAATCGAGCACCTCAGTTCCTGGGGGAGTTGGCTACTCTCGCTGGTTAACCGTTCAAGCCCTTCCACTGTTGATGGGGCCAGTCACTTAACATCTCTATTGCTGGCGAACTTGGACACTCTTGCTGCTCAACTGATCAAGCCTTCCCACTATTGGTGGAACCTGTCACTTTCATTGATCTGCCCATCAAGGGTTTCCATTGCCAGCGGAATTGAGCGCTTTCGTTGGTCGGCCGATCAACCATTCCCACTGTTGAGAGGAAATCTGATTAAACGGCCAGGTACAACAAAGATTCTAGACTGAAGTCCAAGGAATCGTTTTCCTCCAGTGCCTTTCGCGGATCACCTAATCAAGTCCTCATTGTTGGCGGGAACGGTCGTTTTCATTGATGGGACTATCAGGCATTTGCATTACAGATGCGATATGAGACTTTCGTTAGGGAGGTGATCAGTCAACTTTGCTCTGAAAACGAGAGAACGGTGTGAAGGACGAGAAGTCAAATTCCTCTTTCCAAGTAAGGCCATCGAATATACAGATGATCAGGTATGAGCGTCTCCTACTGAATGTGAATGAGTAATAGCAGGGGTACACACATAGTAGGGTCGAAGAAACCGGTGCGTGCCGGTCTCTTGCTTCGAGAGGTTGGGCCCACGAAGAAAAAGAGGTTTGGGAAAGGGAGTGAGAGATGCATGAGAGAGCCCGAGAGAGTCCTTATCTAAATTTGGTATTTTCATCTAAACTAATATAATTACGTATATAGATAATCCCATAATACTCTTAAATTTCTTTTATGACGCTTGACTGGTCTCGGTCTCGATCGAGTGTGGCAAGCTTGACCCAACAAGAGCCAAGTAAAACCCCTACCGAGTATGAGGAGTGAACAAGAGAGACAGTAGTGGTTCAAGCATCTATCTACCAATCAGCTTCTGTCGGGGGAGAGTCTAGCCAGATGTCAGTGGTTTCTGACGGTCCGAAACTAAATTTGTTCCGTGTCTCATAGGAGAAACCCATGCTGCAATTAAAAAGTAAGATGACAGCCCTTACATGCTTCTGAACGGATACTCTGAATATGAGCTCAATTTTCCACACGGTGTCGGGTGTACAGGCGGCATACAATTTTAGGATTACCTGTTGCAGGTTTGGCTGTCACACCCTTTGAAAGAGGTCAGTAATCGATATACCCATCTCCGAGAAAGGTGAAAACCAGAGCCCTACAATTGACAGACAGCGAACGGGTCTATGATTGGCTGTGGTATGAACGACTCGTTGATCTTCTCTGAAAGGGACATTATTTGACGTACCCATTTCAGGGGTATTCCGAGAACAGTAAGAGTAAAATTCCTTGCTTCAGCACCACAGTCAGGTGATTCTCGTCTGTTCCTTGGGCGGGCAGAGTTCAGCGTCGTGACAGGGTGACATATGACCAGCGGGAACACTCCTAAAAAGGGACTTTAATTGAATCACTTTTCCAGGGATATCCCGTGGCCAGCGAATGCAAAACACAGCGTTGGATCGCTAGCGATCGAATGGCCTGCATCTATTCTGAGAAGAGCCGAGGCTCTACAGCTTGTGGATGGCTGGTCCTTACATGATCGTCATTTACCCTGAAAAAGATATTCATTGGTTCGTTTTCTCCTGAAAAAGTCCTGATGAGAAGTCTGCGTCTCTCTTGTGTCAGATGTATTCAATATCATGCTGTTTAGTGTTACGATCCTGGCCAATTTTGAAGTCCACAATCATCAGAAAGTACAATGTTGTCCAATTGCGAAAAGAAATGAATGAACTTGAGCCCAATGCC